AAATGCCCTTGAAATGCCCTTCTCCACGGCATACACGAAATCAAATGCCCTTGAAATGCCCTTCTCCACGGCATACACGAACTCTACCCACTCCATGGTAGGGCAAAGAAGTCCCAGACCGTTTTTCATATCGTTCTTCGCATCGACTTTTGCTACGAAATCTCTCAGCATAGAGCCGGTACATATCGCCTCCCCACTGGACCGGCGAGTGTTGTGTTGGACGACACGCACCCAATCCTCGGAAAGATTGTGTCTTCTTTGATGCGTCCAAGCCTTGCTTGCTGCCCACCCGGCAATGCAGTACAGGACTTGCCCGCGCGGTTTTGTGATCTGATACCTTTCACTCGGGAAACAGAGCTCCACGGCCACGGAATCCTTGCGCTCTTTCACGCACACCTTGTTCTACTCCTGCATTAACCCCTTTGGGTCTAGGCTACTCGCCAGCCGAACGGGTGGTCCGCGGGCCGCATGTTCCTGTTCGAAACATTTTTTTTTTTCACCATAAAAAAGAAAACGCTGCGAGAGACAGTGCAGAGGGAGAGAGAAGTGCAGCAAGAAGAGACTGCTGTACATGTGTTCATGCAACGGCTATCTCCACACATAGGCCATCAGGGCAGCCCGCGCGAGCGTGGTGGGCAAAGAAAGGGTCATAGAAAGGTCGATGGGTGGTCGCAGTGCGGCCGGTAGGGCATGTTGGCCTTTTAGACCTTGAAATGATGAGTCACCAAGCTGCCTAAACCAATCTATATTCAATATGATAAAATCGTCTATAAGAATCATCTATGAGAGGCCTTGTAGACCTATAGCAGGAATTTGTACTTCTGTACTTCTCTGTCCCCCCCCCTATGTGGGCCCTGCCGGGTTGATAGCGCTCACTTCACGCACACAAAGCAATAAAGCGCACAGCACACGAACTGAGCACCTAAAAGCCCCCAAAGCTATGGACATGCCAACGCCCGACGTCGAGGGGTACAAGGTCGGGATCACGATGGCCTGCCATGAGCAGATGGTGTCGCTGATCGCAAAAACACGCCGGCGGATGAAGGCACCAGCACACTGGTGCGCGCGTTTGCGTTTGAGGTAGCCGCGAAGGTTGGCGCCGAGTACTGCCATCACGACACCGCCCCGGAGCCAATGCCGAGCATGGCCCTCGCTGCTGCCAAGAAGGCTGCGGCGGAGCATCCGGGTCTGTGTGGGGTTTACCACGCTCACTTAATAGCAGCCGTGCGGACCGAGGACGTGACAAGTCGATCGGGCTCCACCTCTGCCAACAAGTTCCGTAACCAAGTAAGTATTGCCTGAGGTAGAGGGGCGGGTGCAGCTGTTGATGGTTGGTGTTGTTGGAGCACCAAGGCTTTGATTATTGTTGGCTAAGGAGCACGGAGTCAAGAGAGAAAGAAACGAGCTGCTGCTCCCAGGAAGAGATAGGGCTATACAGCCGCAGTAGTGTAATGCTACATTTCAGATGTGGAACAAACTTCAACGTACGCCCGACCCTGCTGCTGTCGTAGCATATGCATTGGTACACCTGCCATTCGCCCGACGCTACTGCTGTCGTATGCATATGCATAGTTACACCTTCCCATCCTGCTGCTTGTTCGACCCGCTCTGCCCAAACTGCGCACAGCAGTGATCGCTGACGGGCAAACTCCTCGCTTTGTCGTAGTTGGTTTCAACCTTAGCTCTCCCCGCCCATTTGAACGTATGTGTGCATGCATACAGCACTGAACTGCTGTAGACTATGATAGGTCTAATACTACTGCCGTGCATCATGTGTGTATTCCGGACAATGCATGCAATGCCACAGGCGTGCTACGACGGGGCCATGGCGATGAATGCGCGTGGGAAGGGAGTGCAGCTGAAGAGAGCAGAGTGCTTCACGCATGCCTGCCGGGCAGTTTGGCCTGGAAATGAGGAAATGGAGGCCTCTGTGGTAGAGGCATTTTGAGAGTAAATAGAGGTAGTGTCATCCTTCGCAACACCTCTACATGTTGCCGTGTTGCATTCATGTCTTGAACGTCGTGGGTGAAGACCGGCTGCCTTTGTATGAGGACCACCGGCCGAATGTTTGTCCGTTGTCCGCGCTTTCATTTTGTCTTGGTTATTTTTTCTGCCGCAGCACTGTTGTGATGAAAATATGCATGTATGTGGATGTGGACGTGGGCTCACCAAGAGGAGTGCCGAGAAACAACCGCCCTGTCTTGATGTATGCTTGGATTTTTGAAAAAGAACACCGCGTGATGCGTGCGTGACCTGTTTGCCTTGTGGTCTAACATGCAGCCTTTGCAATGTAGGATGTGTATGTGTAGGTACTACCTGATCGGCAGCACATGCGGGTTGCAACTGCACCGGTGGCCACACCCCGGTCTACATATACGGGCCCAAAGATTGTCGGACGACGTCGTAGTCTTGATTCATTATTTGGCTTATTTTGTTGGTTTGTTTGAAAGCGCTTGTCTGCGAGAGCGTTGGACTCTTTTGTTTGTTGTTATGCCCGGCAATTGACACCAGCGATGCCTGGCGTATTATCTTTCCCGAAGTGTGCACCCTTGTGGGGTAGTTGGCCTGTGACGATGGTAGACGTACGCGTCACACGGGTACGGATATTAATGGCGCTGACCAGAGGCTGCCGCTGTTTTTTTCATTGTGAAGAACGAGAAGAACGACAGCAACGACAAATTTCCTGGCAAAAAGCAACAACGCTTCCATGCAACAAGCACGGCCATGAGGCAAGCGCTCGCGACAAAATGTATGTGTCGATTGTGCCCAAAACAACATTTCAACAGGCATGACACGACACGTGCCTCTTCGCTCCACCATGATAGGGAACGGCACGTGACAGAGTGTCCGCGGTACCCATAAAAGCATGAGTGTATGCGTGTTGTTCAATTCACGATAGACATGAGTCGTAACACCTTTCCGCATTTTTTGCATGCGCAAGACTTTTTCCATTGGCGCAGGGCATTCGCCCGCCTGTTAACACATGAACTTACGCTTCCATTCCAACCCGGAACGCTGATATTGCTAACGCATGCCGGACTACCCCTAACCCTGGCATCCGAGTAGCGAAGAAAGAGCAGGGAGATGTACGAGGTGCCCATGAAGCCGTGGGAATCCCTCCTGCCTCCTGCTATTCTCTGCGTGTTTCGAGTGCATGCCAACCGCCGCACCGGGCGGCATCTTGACACCGTAGCATGCAAATAGTGACAATGACAACTCCGATTCAACTATCAGCTAAATAGTCAAGCTACAGACAGAATATCGTTGCAACAGGGCTGCTTGTCGAGTAACTTGTATGGACCCCTCCAGATAGTCTTCTGACGGTGGCGGCGACGCATTTTCTGGCACTTCAAAACACTTGCCTGGGACACACACAATCACAATGACTTACTTGGGCGGCGATCCAAACCAATTGATTGGCTTGTACGTTCTCTCGACGGCCCAGTGTTTAGCCGCAACATGCGCTTCTGGTACTGTACTGCACGTATTGCACAGCATCAACGCCCGGTCCTGCCCCATCCCACCCGTGCAAGTATCACACCAGCATACCCCACAAGTTATAGTCCCAGTGTACGGACCGGCCGTCTTTTTGCAACCCTCCCCCATGGCATACACGCTGACCGCGTGCGCCCTTCACGCGGTACGACTCCACTGTCGTCGTGGGCCTTGCCCCCTTCCCATCGTGACCCACGTTACACAAGGACATGAGGTGATTCGCGAGCCTACGGTCCCAGTCAATACGCTCCAGCCTGCTCGACTAGGCATTGAAATTCTTGGAGCTCTGCCACCGTGAGGTCGCAACTGCCCGCCACCGCCCCTCCCTCTCCGGCTTCCCCGGCGTCCCCGGCATCACCCACCCCCCCGTCTTGTGTGGCCGCCTCCAACGCCGCGGTACACTGCGTGGCTAGCACCCCGGCCCACTCGAAGAAGAGGAGCCACGCGTTGCTGACGGCTTGAGCAAACTTTTGATCCAAGACTCGCCCCCAGAAGAACGTCATAGGCCTGTGCGTGTGAGCGTGGGCGCTTAGCCGCTGGTCTGCGACGTCCACGCCACCTATGTTCTTGACATACTCCTTGCGAGCTAGAGGTTGGTGGCTCGGCACCTTGTCGCCGTTGTTGTTCGCAGCTCGCCTCCTGTGCATGTTTGCGAAAAAAGTACATCGGCGGACGTGCGCGGATGACCGTTCAAATATTACACGAGTGCGTGATACACGTGAATTAACCCTTGCTGCAGGCGACGAAAAGCGTCAAGGTTCCGATCGAAGGCGTTCCTCTCTACCGTTACAGCTGCCCTGTCCTACGCCAAATTATCTTTGCCCATACACGTTTCAAGCCGCGCAACATACCTCCAACTTGATAAAAAAACAATCCTGACAAATAACTAAACACGGTACACCAAGAGTGAGTGCGGAACCGTGGTTCCTCAAAAACAGTTTCCGCGGAATGGTTTTACGTTTGTACTCACTCGTAGGCGAGAGGTGCCCACTCGTCCTCAAAGACATGCTTCGTCGACATCAGGTAGACCTCCTGGGAGTCGATCCACTTGACGATGACGAGTTCGTCGGAGCGGGCCGTCAGCATGTCACCACGCTCTGTCGCCTTGAGGCCCTCCTTGTCCCAGAGATGTTTGACAAGGTCCACTCCGGTGCGGTTGCCGCGTCGAGTCCCTACGGCGAAGATGTCGCGCGTAGCGAGGCATCGCAGAACGGAGGCTCCCGTGAAGAAGTTGTCCATCGCCACGGTAATACCGGAGCCTACGATCTTGTCGGAGAAGGTCGGGCACGCCTCGAGTAGTACGTACAGGACTGTGCGTGCCGACCGTCCAAGGCGGCAAGTCGCATGCGGTCTTACCTTGATGTCGCTGAACCCGCCGTCGATGCTTTGGACGAAGCAGTAGCCGGACGGGCAGCAAATAGCCCAGCCTTTTATTCCTGCGCGGGCGCCAACGAAAAAAAAAGGGACACGCGGTATAGGATGTCAAGCCCTGACACCAGCGATGCCGGCATTCATTTTGATTGTAAGGGGGTCATGTGCAGCTTGCCTACTTGCATGAAAGGACGGGGTTCCTCAACTTGCATACATCAAGCCGTCCATGCCGTAGTCGCGTTGCCATCATCCCCTTTGCGAGGGGTGAGAGCTCTCGAATCCACAAAAGCATTTACTCGACCACCGTCATGGGTACCAACAAAAAAATAACAGACGCAAACATTGAAGTAATAACGTAAACTGGTTGTCGGTTCACGAAGCGATCGGTGACTTGTACAACGCCGTTGCCAAGCGACCAAAACCCACGAGGGGAAAGGGGGAATGAGCCAGATTTGTGCCGGGGTACCCTAGGTGCGAGCTACAGTGGGATAGATCATATTTGGCGACCCCCCAAGCCACCAGCACACGAACTGGTACGTGGCACATGAAGCGAACGCACATTCCACAAGGAAGTATGCGCTAAAGGTCGCGACAAGCAGCACACCATGTGTAACCCACGCGCGCCGCGTAGTGGCGCTGGACTCCAACAAAAGTGGACTGTAAAATGTGAGAGGGGGACCTACGGGGGGGGGCGGGGGGACGTACGTGTGCGAGACGACTATTGACGTGCACGCGTCTCGGAACCGATGATGCGGCCGACGTCACACTCAGGAATGGAAGGGCTAGGGTCTACTCGGGCATCCGTTTTCCACCTCACCGGTCTTGATAGGCTTCGCTTTGTTGAACCTCATCAACGCAAATATCGCTCTCGCCGTGCTCTTCACCATCTGCTCGTCGTACGATAGCCATGCGACCGGTTCCACAAGCTTACTCAAGCACTCGTTCAGCACGTCCTCCAGCTCTCTGCCAAGAGTAGCAGACACAAATTATTTGCAGTGTCTGACGGGGCGCACACGTGTAATGCAAACACAGAACCGTCGAACCGCGGCATCGGCGGAGCTACCCGGCGGGATGGAAGTACTGATTGCAGTCAGTAATACTACTCGGAGCCAGGGGGGGGGGGCGCTGGACATACATGCGTATTGCTCCCCCAACCAGCGATTTATGATAACTCACCAACCTGAGCGAATAAAAAGACCGACACCGATACGGATGTTTCGTGTTCCGATTACGACACACACTCTGTTCCAAAGCAGCTTCCAGTGGACCCAAACGGTTCGTATTCGACCAATTTCTATTCAGCAATATTTAGGCCATTCTGCTGAGAGGGCGAAGGAGACGACACAGCGCCAAGGGCAAACATCACCCCATATTGGTCCCCAAAACTGAAAATAAAATAAAATATCCTCTAAACGAAAGTATAACATGCCCATCCACCGTACCTACAATTGCAGTCTGTTGGCGTGCGTGTTTTTCTATGGGGCATACCTGATGTGGTGTTTGCTGTCGTACTGGGGATCATCCTTCTTGAGCTTGCCGGTGGGAGGTGCCAAGTGGAAGAAGCGGCCGTAGAACAGGATGGAGGTCTCGAGGCATGCAGGCCCGGACCAGGGGGTAGTTGTCGTGGGCTCCGACGGCCCAGTGATCGATGATCCTCGGCTTCTTGGTCAGTCCGGCGGTGATGAGGATACCCATCACGCTGTACAGGTGCTTGCGCTCGAAGGCGTACTCTCGAGATCCGTCATTTCCTTCGTCGGAACCTCCTGCAAGCCACGAACCACCTTCTTCCTGTGCCGGTCTTCCAGGTGTTCCAGCGGCGGATCAGACTCGTCGGCGCAGAAGTTCACATACCTGTTCGTCTGGTGTAAGGGCGGGAAGCGGCGGGATGCAAAGGCGCGGGAAGGGGAGGGACACAAGAGGGATTCTGTGAAACCAAATTGGAAAAGGATGCCAAATCTCTTGGAAGTTGGTGGTTCACACCGCAAACATGCTGGAGTATACATGTGGACACGAAGTCACACATACGTGAGTCTCGATTGTCCCATGCAATGTTCAACGTATACATGCTGCTGACGATCTTAGCTGCTTGCGGCGCCAAGGACTGCGCTAGGACTATTTTCACACATTGTCGCTGCCTGCCTTTGGTGTTGCATTTTGCATTTCGTCGACTCTGATACGTACTGGTTTCTGGGAGCCTTCCCCCCGCCCAGCCAGCAGAGCCTGACTCCCGTACGTCTCTCAACATGCAACGATAAACCGATGGCCCTCACCTACACAACGAGGTACAACAGCACGGTGGATACTGTACCGCGACCTATCGTCCGCGCTGTGTTCCTGTGAAAGTTGTGGCCGTTCTGCTCTTCCTCACTCCGGTCGCGAGTGACATAAAACACAACTGTTACTCCACCACTCTCTTGTCGTTCGCAAAATACAACAAAGATTTTGGGGGAAACTCGCCAAAAAACAAAGTCACACACAACCAGCTTGGGTTTCATCACCTCGTTCAGGACGATGTCCTGCGCCTCCTTCGGGAATGTCTTCTCGAAGAACGTGAATGGTAGAGCCTGGCCCTTGCCGTTGACGAAAGACCGCAAAGCTGATAGCCCTGCTTTGTCGACCTTCGGTAGGCTCGCCTTCAGGTCGTCCGATAGGCTGAACTTGTCGCCGCCGGGATGCTTGTTTCTCCGGGTGTACGGCTCGGATGACTCGTCGCTGCCGCCGAGCTGTCCCTCGCGTGTTGAGACCAGAGTTTGCGAGTTCGCAGCATACAGCGGTTTGTACGATGGGCCCATATCAAACTCGGCATCGTCATCCTCATCATCACTAGCCTCATTTGGGTCGACATAAGAACCGCTGTCCTCCATGCCAAGCTCGCTGTCCTCAGTGCCAGCGTGCAAAGCAAGGGTGGATTGCTGCAGGAGGGAGACGTACACTGATGTACAAGGAGGAACACCAACTGGCGCTGCCGGCAACGCAACCACAAGCGCTACCAACAACGCCGCCCAGACCGACAGGACAGACCACGCGGCGCGTAGAGGCATCCCCGAGAGCTCTCGATGACCTCTGTGGATGCTTCTTGTGTTCGTGTGTGGCGGGGAGGGGAGGCGGGCGCTCACGGGCTTGCTGTGCTATACAACTCCTTACGTGTAGGTTCGGGGATTGATTCCCATCCTCCCCTCTACGACGAGAGCGTCTGTTCGAGGCTTTCAAGAAAAAAAAACAAAATAAAATGAGCTATCAATCATCTGTCAGCAGGCCTGATGACCCAAAAGGGTTGAGGGGAGGGGATGGGGAACGGTTCGATCAGAGGAGCGCGGGCATGGGGAGAGTACCTCAGCTACTTGGCCGTGGAATACACATGAACAAGATGAAATCGGATGGTTGATTCTAGACCCGAGCGCCAGGAATTGGTGGTAGCTCCAACACACCTATTCCTACCAGAA